TTTTTATTTTCTATAATAATAAAACATCTTAATCATCTTAGAAAATTTCAAATAAATTTTTTATAAAAATTATTGATATTAAATTTAACTATATATGAAATTAGAAATTAAATTTCTTATAGTTAAAATGAAATAACTAATCAATTTATATTTTCTTTCTTCAACAACTATTTTTTCTCACGTGTTTTTTGGTTATTTAAAACGACAAAATACTTTATATTATTAAACTTTGATATGGTTCATATATTTATTTATTTCAATTTTGTTAAAAAAAATAATTTATAAATAAAATATTATTGAAGATGTGAAATGTATACATAGATTGTAAAATCAGGGATTAATTCATAGCTAAACATGCATTCGATAAATATTTTAAATTTTTAATGTTTGATTCATACATTTATTCAATTAATTTTTGACAATACATAACAAATAAAACGTATTTCTATTTCATTCCTAATTTGGTTATTAAGTTTTAGATAGTTAACTAAAYGATCTATTTTTWAAAAATTGTTATACAAAATATTTCATCTTAAAAAATTATTAGACTATCAGTCATTTAAGTTATCTAATTACATGGTTTTCTTATTTATCGAAAATAACTACTTATTACTCTTTTCCTTAACCAAATATAATGTGATGTTAAACTTGGAGTCTCATGTAAAATATATGATAATTATGTGTGTATTATTTGTTTGTAGGGTAGAGGAAAAAAATTTATATGGAAAACTTCGAAGAGGTCGGTGAAATTCGTGTACCCCTTTCACGTCTTGCACATTTTGAGAGGCGCCATAAACTCAGAGAAAAAAGATTGCTACATTTACCCACTTCTCAGTTACATGTAGTTCAAAAGGTTATATGTAAACGTGCTAGACTTCGCAGGAAAATTGAAATTATTAATCGGTCAGTACTTCCAAATCCGGAGAAGACACAATTAAAAGTTCAATGTGTTAAGATATTCATCGATCAAATTCCAACGTTTTGGAATTTAGAAGGTACTGAAAACTTCAATCTTTTTTTACATTTTAAACTTACACACACACACACACATATTTATATTATCTAACCGTTCACTTTATTTATTTATATCTTCTTATAATAAATTACTTTCTTATTTAAATGTGTTGAAATTTATAATTTTTTTGAATTTTGATCTATTTCGTGATTCAACATTATTACTATAACACACACACACACATATATATATACACACACACACATATACACACACACACACATATATATATATATATACACACACACATACACACACATATAATAAAAATTATAATGATAATCAGTTTTTGATATTTACCTTTTTCATAATCGCTTAATTTCTTATTCAAATACATTGAAATTTATGAGGTTCATGATTTTGATTTGTTTTCCAATCTAGCAATTTGGGCAATGGAGGTGGATGCACAAAGAAGTATTCAAACTTCGATTGTCACGGAATCAAGCCGAAATACTGTTATCTGAGAAGGTACGTCTGTTAACTTTGTGAATAACATTTTAAAGTTTTATATTTATAAAATAATACCACCGCAATTAATTTTGCCTAAATTCAAAATAAAGGGTAAATGTTGGTTTTTATTTTTCAATACATAATTATTTTAATTATCAACCATCAACATTTCCTTTATTTATTTAATCTATCCTCGAATGTGGGCTTTGCATTAAAAGTTTTAAAATTGATGCCAAACAATTGCATGRATATTAAAAATAAGTTTTGTGATAAAATTTGATGGAAAAGTGGTCATCASCATAATTATTGAACCTTTCTATAAAATATTATTATTACAATATTGATATTTCTATTTTTCTAAAAAATTTAAAATTAAGATTGGTTGSTTATCTTTTCTTATTCTTCATCTACAAATAAAATTGACCATATTATTAATAATTATGAATGTGGTAGAAAAATGTCAATTGAATGTAATTATATTAACTACCAAAGCTAAATTCAATATAATACATTTATAATTATTTGTGTATATCTTAATAAAAAAAATTAATATGTTTAATCTTATCAGAAAACTCTGCAACTCCGTGGAATTTTGGTAAACCGAATCACACTTGTGGACAATGTGGTGCCATCATGTGGTACGAAGAAAGATCTCGAAAGGACAGAAAAACATCTAATCCAACGTTTATGAGTTGTTGTTCGGAGGGCCGCGTCAAACTACCATTGCTTCCCCCAACACCACAAACACTTGATTACCTTCTTTCCTTAGAATCTGGGAAAAAAGGCGTCAATTTCCGAAAAGAGATAAGAACTTACAATTCAATGTTAGCATTCACTTCGCTTGGATGTCGTGTGGATTCCAAGATTAATTGTGCGAAAGGTCCCTACATCTACAGGGTTAGTGGCCAAAATTATCATAGGATTGGTTCTTTGTTACCAGAAATTGGGAAGAAACCTCAATTCGCGCAACTATATATCTACGACACTGAAAATGAGACAAATAACAGAATTGAAGCAATGAGAAGGCAATTTGGAGTGGACGRCCTTGATCTTCAAATTACACAGGATCTGTCTACAATGTTAGAAGGAAGCAATGTGTTAGTACATTCATTTCGCATGGCAAGAGACAGATATATGTGTGAACCGAATACTGTTTTTCGATTACGGATCATAAACAGTCGCACAACGGATGGCCGACAATACAATCTACCAAGTGCTAATGAAGTTGCAGGCTTGATTGTTGGTGACCTGAGCGAAAACAATTTCGAGCGTGATGTTATTGTTGAACATCGTACAACTRGAYTTCAACGGATTACTGATCTCCATCCGTCTTTTATGTCGATGACATACCCGTTAATACATCCTTACGGTGAAGATGGGTTCAGGCAAAATATATTACTCCAAAACATGGACGGATCTTCTTCAAAGAGACAATTTGTAACAATGCGACAATACTATTGTTTTCGTTTGCAACAACGATCAAACAAGGGCCATACTCTTCTTCGTGCAGGTAGGCTTCTTCAACAATACATTGTCGATGCTTATATGACGATTGAAGAAGGCAGATTTCGGTGGATTCGTAATAATCAAGATCAATTACGAACAGATTTATTTTCTGGGTTGATGGATGCCATAAATCGTGGTGACACAGATGGAAAAAAAATCGGAAAGTCAATAATACTACCCTCATCACATACCGGTAGTCCAAGGTATAGAGTTCAAAATTACCAAGATGCCATGGCAATATGCAAGTGGGCTGGGTACCCGGATATTTTCCTGACATTTACTTGCAACCCCAAATGGCCGGAGATAAATGAAATGCTCCACTTAATAGAACAAGAAGATGATCCAAATCGGGTTGACATTGTAAGCAGGGTTTTCGAAATAAAGCTCAAACAATTGATGGCGGACTTAAAAACTGGAAAACCATTCGGAACGATAATTGCATGTAAGTATCAACTGTTTACTATAAGTTGCCGTTTTGTCTAACATGCAATTAAACTTTCTCATTTGCATGTAATATTTTCATTATGCATAACAAACAACCATATCTTTTTTATACCCAGGTTTATATACCATTGAGTTTCAAAAGAGAGGTCTTCCCCATGCCCACATCTTACTTTTCTTGGAGTCGTCAGGGAAAAACCCATCGACAGATCGTATTGACAGAATCATCACGGCCGAGATTCCAAATCAAAGTATCGATCCAGATGGGTTTAACGCAGTAACCAAATTCATGATTCATGGGCCATGCGGAGATCTCTATCCATCATCCCCGTGTATGTTACAGAGCAAATGCTCTAAGCATTTTCCCAAAAAATTTGTCCCGCACACAATAATTGATCAAGATGGATTTCCAATATACAGAAGAAGAGATACAGGAGCTTTTGTGGAGAAGAAAACACATAAGTTGGACAATCGATATGTCGTACCTCATAACAGAGATCTGATTGTTAAATTCGATGGTCATATCAATGTTGAGCTTTGTAATCATTCAAGAGCCGTGAAGTACCTATTCAAGTACATACATAAGGGTTCTGATAGAGCTACTGCTACAGTTTATTCAACAAACTCGAATGATGACCATGATGAAATAAAGACATATTTAGATTGCAGATACATTTCGGCTGCTGAAGCATGTTGGCGTATTTTCCAGTATGATATTCATTTCAGATATCCAGCAGTGGAGCGGTTACCTTTCCATCTTCCAGATGAATAATCAGTTGTTTTTAACGAAAATGATAACCCAGAGTCGGTAGTGGTCAAGCCTGGAGTAAGTAGAACAAAGTTCACAGAATGGCTCGACACCAACAAAAGAAATCCGGATGCCAGAGAACTTAGTTACTCAGCATTCCCAAAACACTGGGTCTGGAATGCAAGAGATAAAGCATGGACAAGACGTAAAAAGGGCATATCAATTGGCAGAATATACTTCACTCATCCGTCATCCGGAGAAAGGTTTTACATGCGCATGCTTTTAAACTTTGTAAAAGGGTGCACTTCGTACGAACACATTCGAACAGTGAATGGCATCACATATCCTTCTTTCAAGGGAGCTTGCTATGCTCTTGGATTGTTAGATGATGATGATGAATGGGTTGATTGCTTAACAGAGGCAGCAAATTGGGCAACTGGTCACGAGTTGCGACATTTGTTTGTCACAATTCTTGCAAATTGCCAAGTCTCAAATGCACCAAATCTTTGGAAAAGAAATTACGCAGCATTGTCCGAAGATATAGCAACACTACAACGTAAAAAATACAAAGCACACGGCATGCAACTAACGGATGATCAAATTGAGGCTCACACATTGTTCGAGATCGAGGCAATCATGTTGAAAATGGGAAAAAGTTTAAAAGACATAGATGGAATGCCACTCCCAAATACCGAACTTTTACGAGAATTTCGTAACAGATTGGTCAATGAAGAGCTTGACTATTGTACCCATGATTTGAAGGTTGCTCATGACATCGCATTTTCCAGTCTTAATACTTGCCAGAGAAGAGCTTATTATGCCATTCTTGCGTCAGTGTACAATGATCGAGGTGACTTGATTTTCATTCACGGTCGTGGAGGAAAGGGGAAAACTTTTCTTTGGAATACAGTCGTATCAAGACTTAGATTAGAAGGAAAGATAGTATTACCGGTTGCTACTTCAGGCATTGCAGCTTTGTTACTACCAAATGGAAGAACGGCTCATTCAAGATTCCGAATCCCATTGGATTTAACTGCAGAGTCAACTTGCGAAATTCGTCACGGCACACATATAGCTGAGTTACTTCAACAAACGACATTGATTATTTGGGATGAAGCCCCTATGGCACATAAACACTCATTTGAAGCATTGGATAAAAGTTTGCGTGAAATAATGAGTTGTCGTTATGAAAATAGTAAAGACAAACCATTTGGTGGACTCACAGTTGCTTGTGGTGGTGACTTTCGGCAAATTCTGCCAGTAATACCAAGGGGAAATCGAGCCGACATTGTGAATTCAGCACTAAATTCATCTTATTTGTGGCCTTTGTTCAAAGTATACGAGCTCAATGAGAATATGCGTTTGCAATGCAACATTTTGTCACCGACAGATATGATAAATATTAAGGTGTTTGACTCATGGATGCTACAAATCGGAAATGGCACTGCCTACGATGATGTAACAAATGAATTGCTAAAGTTGCCCGCTGGCATCTTCCCAGAAACAATTGGCAACCCGATTGAATCAGTGGTTGAAATGATATATCCTTCTMTCTTGGAAAACTGTAATTGTCCTTCATATATAACTGAAAGGGCAATTCTCAYGCCAAAAAATGATATGGTCCATGAATTGAACACATTTATCATGGACATGCTTCCAGGAGAAGGAAAAACATATCTAAGTTCAGACACAGTTTGCAAAGGAAGTGTACAAACAAATGAGGAAGACCTCCTTTATCCAACTGAATTCTTGAATGGTTTGCAATTCAATGGCGTACCAAATCACGAGATTCAGCTAAAGGTAGGAGCCCCAGTTATGTTATTACGCAACATCAATCAAACAGAAGGATTGTGCAATGGAACACGATTGATTGTCACATTTCTTGGAACATGGTCTGTTAGAGGTGACATTATTTCAGGAACTAATAAAGGAAAAAGTGTCACTATTCCAAGAATAATAATGTCGCCCAATGAATCAAAATGGCCATTCAAGCTTAATCGACGTCAAATACCATTGGTCCCATGCTTTGCTATGACAATTAATAAAAGCCAGGGACAATCTTTAAGTCGTGTTGGCTTATACCTCCCGAAACAGGTACACTCCTCAATTTTTTTTATATTAGCATATTTAAATATGTACTTATATTCACATATAATTGCATAATATTCCAATTGATAGGTTTTCACACATGGACAACTATATGTTGCTGTTTCACGAGTGACATCGCATGAAGGATTAACCATAATAAATGCCGATGAAGAAATGGAACACCGTACACTCATAAAAAACATTGTCTACCATGAAGTGTTCAATAACATTCATCCATCCACCGAGTAAATAAGGTAATATTTTACTAAGTTTATATATTCATATTCTCTAAAATCCAACTTTTATTATTTCTTCTCATATTTATTATTATGATTCTCTCTAACGCCTATAATGGTTAATGCAATTCTATTCCATATTGTATACAAGAAAATCTTCATAAAAAGCTTCATCGAGGATGAGAATATATTGAAGATAGAGACGGATGATAAACGATTGAGTAAGCATAGAAGAAGWGGCTTCGACTACTGACCAMGTTGAACCATATGCATAGGGATCTATGTAGGTTATTTTGTTTTATCTTATTTGTTTCTTTATATATTAGAATGATTTTATTTTAGTTATTGTTTTATGGTATGAAAGAAGTTTTTTTACTTACAGTACCGCG